CAACGAGAACGATGGAAAAGAATAGATCGTTATTTACGTCATGTTTTATTTGTACAAATAATTCTTCTTACTATTTTTACACTTCCACAAGTTATTGAAAAATTCTATACAACATTAACAATGAATACAAGAAAATCATTATTACATATAACTATTGACAAATTTATTTATAATCTTGTCTTACTTCTTACTTATCTGGCTAGTGGAATGCCATTTTATATATATACGTTAAGTGGTGGAAGTTTATTTAGAACTACTTTAAGAAATTTAATGCGATCGATATTTAGAAATAATTAATATGTCGATAAGAAAAATAAAATTTGATACATTTTTGAAATTTTGAATTTTGGTTTTTTGCAAATCGTCTGACAAGAAACTTTAGCATACGATCAATGATAGTTGAAACATAAAATCAATTACGAAAGTTTTTCTTTTAATTATCAAAACTTTGATAGATTAATTGCAAAAAATACCTCGACATTTTCTTTATTCTTCTGTCATTATTATTCAATTCTTTACCATATGTCAAGAAGACACGCAAAAAGTAATGTTGATAGAAATAGAGATCAATTAATTGGAACAGCCTAAACATGCCGTTCATCGCCATTGTTCATTACTAAGGAACTATGGAAAAAGAGTCTGGCGCTTGTTGTCTTTGGTTGCTAGGAGAAATAAGTTCATTGACCTGTGCACACTTTTTCCAATTGCTCTTGCTCATAGGTAGGACACTTCCGCTCATCATTTTTCTTTTCAAAAATATATGTGAATTCCACAAAATAATTTTATAATGAGATTATCAGTCAATATGATTTTTTCTTTTTCTATGGAAATATTATTCTTGTTCAATTGAATTATTTCAACAAGTTGGATAAAATATTGGGGAAGTCGTTTAAAAAAATATTTCATCATCTTTATCAGTAGGTATCACATATAATAACATTACTGTTGCCATCATCTGTAAGATATTTTTAAATACTATATATGAACATAGATATAGAGATAGTGTGATTATTAAAAATTCAGTAGGTATGAATAGCACTAGAAAATAAATATTGGCTTTATTGTGCCTTACATATAAACAAGTAATAGATTTATTTGAAAAGAAAATACTTTCATGGATGTTGTCATTTTGAATGAATATCAACGAGAAAAAAAATATTTCAAGATTCAGAATATTACATGTATTTCGATAGCAAACATTAGTTATTGTAAAAAAAAAGTTTGTTTTTCTATTGTTTTCAAAAAGATAATTTCGTATTTTTGACGACCGAACAATTTACTAGTGGAAGATTACTCTTATAGTAGTTGGATTTGGCTGTGGGTCTGCGTGTACGTGAAGGGTAGGCTCACACGCACACCCCAAATTTTATTTTTCTTATCGACATATTAATTATTTATAGATATCGATCGGAATAAATTTCTTAAAGTAGTTCTAAATAAACTTCCACCACTTAATGTATATATATAAAATGGCATTCCACTAGCCAGATAAGTAAGAAGTAAGACAAAGTTATAAATAAATTTGTTAACAGTTATATGTAACAATGATTTTCTTGTATTCATTGCTAATGTTGTATAGACTTTTTCAATTGCTTGTGGTATTGTTAAAATAGATAGAAATATAATTTGAATAAAAAGTACATGACGTAAATAACGATCGATTCGTTTTTTTCTTTGTTGTTGAATATTTATTAATTTTAATTGTTTTTCATTATTTTCATTTATCATAATTAATTTTCTTTTTAATGATCTATTTAAACCTATTTGACGTATATTTGATATTGTTATTAAACCAAATATAAACATAATTAATAATGGACATAATATTGTTATTATAGCATATGTTAAATCAGTTAAAAGACGACATATTACATTTTTACCATAACATGGTAATGGTGCTGAAATAATATTTATATCATAACAATAAATCATTTGACAATAAAGAAGAATAGACAAAATAATTATAATTATTGTTCCTTGTTGAGCATTTTTTAATGAACTCATTTGTCTTCGTTGATATTGACTA